GAGATTCTGCATCTGCTCCAACTCCAATTCCATAGAAGATCACTTTCCGGGGCACTTGGATATGTCTTGCAGATACCTGGTTTAAAATAGCACACAAGGAAGGAGCAGAAGATGTAGATACATTGTAATCTCAGGTCTGGGGAGCCTGAGGCAGCAGGATCAGAAGTTACTCAGTGAGATTTCACTTCAAAAACAAGCAAGCAGGCAAACCCAACAATCAAACATTCTGACTTTTATCACACATCCTCTGTAGTTCGGTTTTTAGTATCTGCAGTGAAACTCTAAGCTGCTATTATTTTAATAACCATCACAACATCCTTATTTCGCTATAAAGGAGGAACAAAGGAGAGACATGCGCAATAAAACACTACACCTTTTGATCTGTAGGTGTTTGGGTGTGCTGAGAGTAGAATGCCTGTACCCACTTAAAAACTAGGGAACATACAAGGTTTGAGATTGAGCATCCTCGACACCCGCAGTGAATATAAAAAACGAAAGAGTCGAGGATGACGCATAATAAAAACCAGTATCGGATGCTCACAGGTCAGGCATGCTCGCATGTGTTGTTGGGGAAGGGAGAATGCACACAACTTTTGGACGGAGTGGGGGACACTGGAACGACGCTGCAGCCTCACAGATGCGGTGGGCTGTGTCTGAGCGGCTCCGGATACGGCCCTGTGCTTTGAAGACCACGGCGATGAAGTTTCTCGTTCTGACACTGAGGTGGAGTAGGAAGGAGATAGAGAGTTGCCCTAGGAGAATGGCTGCTGGGTAGCTGTGCCAACTGATGGTCAGAATGTCCCTGTGTGGTACGTCCACTAACTATATAAAAATCGAGACGGCTCTGCGGTTAAGAGCACATGTTCCTGCAGAGGACCTGGTTTGACTCGCAGGATGGCTCACAATCCAGGCATCTGCCCTCTTTTGCCTTCTAGAGGCAGCGGACACACAGAGGATGCACATATGGGTACACAGGCAAAGCATTCACACACATAAAATAAAAATAAATCGAGGTTAAGAAAAATTAAGTTGCCACACAGGTGTACTAACCAAGGGCCCACACCCTCAAAAGACCTAATCTGTCATTTGCAGCATGGCTTTTGACTTTCCCACCTCACCCCTCTGGGGCTTTCTGAGATGACCTTTGGGAGAAACAGCTGAAGCAGGAGATGTGGTCCACCAGGATGCAGAAGGATGAACCACCTCATGGGTAACGCCACTCACCTCGTAAACGTCTGCAACACGGGAGCCCGGAGTTCTGCCTCCCCCTCCTTTCCATTCAGCCCGTTCTATAATCTCTTTGCAGAGCACGATTCACTTTAATAAATTGCTTAAAGTGTTTGTATCTCTTGACTGCATTCTTTCCTTTGGGAGGAACTGAGGTGACACCTCACATGGCGACAGAAACCCACTGTGTGGGGGCATGGGTTCCATTTCCACAGCGTAAAAAGGGGCCCAGAGACCACATCCTTTGCAGCCTGGTGGGAAACACCCGAAATGGAAAGTAAGGGGACGAAGAAAAGCGGTATGGCGTCCTCAGACCACCCTAACACAACCTTAAAGGCGCCCGCACCATGGTATCCTCATGCAATTTTCTCAGCAAATAGAATTAAGTCACTATTTACAGAACCCCCAAAGGTGCCCGCAGGGTGCGACAGCTGACTGCCTTGCGCTTGGCTCCCGTCTCTGAGTCTTTAAGTATTTTTCTCAATCATGGCTCTCACTTTGGATTTGCCCTGCCCTTAGGGCAGGGAGTGGCAGGGAATTGTCACAGCCTCAGGAACTCAGGAAGTGAGTGGAAATACTCAGACCCCTCTGCCATGTGGCTGGCGTCCTCCAAGACCTGGGTCTCTGTGGGATCAGGCTCGTTTCCCAGACTGCTAGCTTGTCGTCATAATCCATCTCACTGAGCTCCCTGTCCTCCCACTGGTGAAGTTTCCTAGGACTTCCCAGACAAAACTGGATATCTGTGCAACTTTGTCTCAAGGGAGACAGAAGGAAAGAATATGTAGGTGAAACTTAGTAAGACCCTAATTCTGTTGAGGGGAATGACAAATTACATCTTGATGGTTTTGTAGTATTTGTTCTACTGCCCTGATACCCCTTTCCCCTAAACCTTTAAGTATGTGCATTGGAAACAATCTAATACATTTTGTTTGTTTGTTTGAGACAGTGCCTCACTGTGGATGGAGTCTGGGTAGCCTGGAACTGAATTTGTGGAACAGGCTGGCCTTGGTCTCACAGAGATCCTCCCAGCGTATGATAGGTATTTTTAAAGGGTGTGGGGGTGGGTGGTGGGCTAATGATGATGTTAGCTAAATCCACTTTTGGTAATTACATTGAGTCTTTTGAGTTCCAAGTAATTTTTTTTTTTTTAAGATTAATAACATCCTGAAACCTGACACTGACTTGTTACATCCTTTGAGAGTGGACTAATTGCTTAGTCTGATACTATGAATGCATTTTTAGATCTAGAGTTTTTAGATTTCATTACTTTCTAAAGTAGTTGTAAAATTAGCAACATGTGGAGCTGGAGAGATGGTTCAGGGGCTGAGAACACTGGCTGCCCTCGCACAAGACCCAGGCTTGGTTCCTAGCATCCACATGGTTGCTCAAAACCACTCCAATTCCAGAGGACCTGACACCCTCTGCTGGCCTCCCTTGACACCACACACACACACACACACACGGCGCACACACTTACATGCAAGCAGGCAGTCATACACGTTAAATAAAAATGAATCTTATTTTAAAAATTAGGAGTATGGTTCCAAGCCACTGTTCTCAGGACTAGCCTAATCTACTACAGACAGGAGCTGTGGAAAAAACAAAAGGATCTTCTCTGAAAACGATTAGACTTGTTGGAAAACTACAATTCTTCTTCTTTAATACTATTATCCTTGCTTGCAGCCTGATATCTTCATTTAACACTTCTGATGTAGGTAAAATATATCTTCAGCTGTCTCACACTTTGATAAAACTATTTACTTTTTGAAGAAACAAAATTGTGCCTAAGTGGTAAAGAGTAAATATTTTAAAACAACTTCCTTTGGAGATGCTTTGTTTTCTACCCAGAACAAGGCAATCTAACCTCTTTCCACAGGACAGTCTTTTATTCAAGGAGTTTATTTTGTTAAAGGCAGTGATAACATTAAGTGACAATGTGGGTTTTTCAGTAAGATTTTTTGGTGACTGGGTTGTGACTGATTTGCCAACTTTCACAGTGGTTGCTGCTACTTTTTCCATTGTTTACAAGCCCAGGCGACCAGCAGACCAGATCTGCTGCCTCGTGTTTCATAACGACACTGGACGGGGAAGCAAGTGTTCCTGTGGAATAATTTTCACAAGTTTCGAGTTCTGACTACTCCATTGTTGGTGTATTTGTACATAAAGTTTCCACTCAATGTTTTCATTCCCTGTGAGCCACATGTGTTATTGTTAAATTTTCATTTGGTATCAGTCACTGTGTTCAACGGTAACAAATTTTCTAACCTCGGTTCATTTCATAGCTGACTTTCTACCTTACAGATGTCACACGGACCCTTCTAAATTTACCAGTGTTCAACAGAATGAGGAATTTACTTGAATTTCTTCCTATCCAGGTAATAACTTTTCATAGTAATAATCTCTTACAGTTGGTATTAGTTTACCATAAAGTATAACATCTATAAAGCATGGGACTTTAGCACACAAGATTAAATCCCAAAACCAAACTTTGAGACAATATTATGTCTTTGAAGCTTTCCTAAATCTCTATAAACTCTGTCATCTCTATTTACTTAACAATTGTGTCATTTCTTAGATGAAATAGCGTAAATGTCCAACACACACTCAAAGGGTCAGCTTCGACAGCGGGTGCTTTCCTGTGTTTGTTGTGATGTTTTGGAAAGAGAACACGAAGAAAAGATCACCCGGAGGAGATTCAGAATTGGAAAAGCAAGCATTTCAGGTACCCTTTTGGATTAAGTAGGCATCTTTTTTTCTTTTTTCTTTTTCCTTCACGCAATGCCAAAGTTTAAACGGGAGCCTCTTTAAGATGAGCTACAGCTAGGGAACCGCCTGAACACTGTCTTGCAGCTCCAGCTGATTTACCAGGCACTGACTAACTGGAAAGTACTGGAAAACCCTACTACTCGTGGACGAATAAGAATGGAAAAGGAAAATGTTTTATAGTATCGCTACAAATCGGTCCCGGTCTTCTGCACACCCTTATCCCCACCCCACCCCCACCCGGTCTGAGGATCACTCTTATGTGGGCTACCGATTTTGTGGGTATCAGTAAACGTCACAGACCTCTCCGGACAATCACTTTCGTGCAACAAGAACATAAAGTTGAATGCACTGATGCTTCTGAACCGACTAAAAATAACGGCTAAGTTGCATTTTTAAAAAATCATTCACGCCTCTATGTTCTGTAACCATGTGAATACTCTGACCTACTGAACTAAAGACGCAGTGTATTTTATGAGTGAGTCTAAACCCATACTTAGCAACTTGGCGAAACCCTAAAAAAAAAAAAAAACCACTCAAGATTTCTTGAAGCACACACTTCTGTGGCATGTCCTTAAACAACTCACTAAAGCACATATATATTTTTTTAAATTTTTTTTTTTTTTTTTACGGCGGGTCGCCGGAAGCTGGGGGACAGTTTTCTGAGGCTGAGCTCCGAGCCTGCTCGCAGGGAGTGAGCATGCGTGGGACCCGCGGCCGTGTCTGCCATGCAAAGGCCCGGTATTCTACTGCGGAAGAAGCGGCTGCCACCGCCGCTGTGCGAGCAGAGGGGGTTCTGCACCGGGAGCTCTGGCTTCTGCAAAGCAGCCGGGACTGCGGGAACGATGGGCTGAGCCCACCCGCCCGCACCAACGCACTTCCCTTCCTGGCAGGAAGGGGAGGCCCCGGCCGAGCGTGCACGCCCTGCAGGCCGCGCATGCGCCGTCCTCCCGGCGGCTCGGGAGCGCCTCGCAGGGCCGACTTTGCTCCCGGTTAGGAGTGCGCCTGCGCGGTCGCTGGGGGCTCTGCACCTCCGCCTCTCCTCCCGACGCCCCGCGGGGGCTCCGGGCCCGGTGGGACCATGTTCACCAGCACCGGCTCCAGCGGGCTCTGTGAGTACCGGCTCCTCCAGCCCCGGGGCGCTCTTCGCTCCATCCTGGCCACTTCCCGGACCCGGCTTGGGGGGCCCCGGGGACTCGGCTTTGCAAAAGGCTAGGGGGCCCCTTGCCGCCCGCGTCCGAGCCTCGGCAGTTCCCGGGCGTGGGGAGGGGGGAGACGGCAGCGGGCGCCGCCCCCACCGCAGCCCCGAGGGCCGAGGGGGCCGCCGCGCCCGGTGCGCTCCCGGCACCTCCCGACGCACGGTGCACAGCAGCTCCTGCCCTGCTGCAGGTGGGCTGGGCAGTTGGGGTCCGGCCGGGTGGCCCGCCGATGTCGTGTCCCGGGCCCACGCACGCCCCGATGGCTCGCGTGCGGAGCTGGAAGCCGTCCCCCACGCGTGGGGACGAGGCTGGAACCCTGCCCGGTCCCCTCTGCCCTTTCATTCATACAGGCTGCTTTGGGACCCACCTGACGTGTGGGTCTCGTCCTCCGATCCAGGGTCACCCCCCCCCCCCGGTTTTAACTTCCCGTGTACTCCTCCCCACCCCACCCCCTCGTCCCCGAAGAGTTTTGGGGAGCCGGGAAACTGACGAACCGCGCGCGCTCTAAAGCGAAGTTAGGAAGTCGCCCGGCGCACTGCTGTGGATGCGATCGGTGGGCTGCGCCCGCCTGGGGTGTCAGCAGCTGGAGGGCAGACAGGTGGGTTCGGCCTCGAAGCCACTTTCTTTACCACCCCAGCCCCCCACCGAGCACCGTGGAGATTAATCCCGGTCACGCCAGCAGCAAGCAGTTTGAACAAGCGTCGGTTCGCACTCACTTATCACTGTTTGGTTCTTCCCGGCTCGGCACGTGAAGTTACTGTTGCCAGACAGAGCGCAGCAGTGCCTGGCATCCCAGGAAGGACGCTGGCTCGCTCGCTCGCTCGTTCTGTTGTGAATGTCATGAGTCGCTCAGAGAGCTGACAGTGAGTAACTGTCAGAGTCTCACCACCGCAGGCTGGGAGGCCGCTTTGATGTTTCTTCATGACCCCCCTCCCCACCATGTTTGAGTTAGTGGGATTTTTCACTGTATCGGCCCCAGAATCCTTCAGAGCTGTTAGTGAGTCCTTCTTGGAACTGCCCTTTGGATGAATAAGGTAGTGTGGCTTTCCCAGGGTTGCAGTTTGTGGGTTGTTTAGTTGTTCCAGGCGCATTGAGGCATCCTTTGCACCAAAAACAAAACAAAACAAAAACCCAAAAAACAAAACAAAACAAAAAACACACCCCCAAAAATACACATAAAAGTTAAAAAATGAGACAGTGGTTGGGAGGAAGGCTCAGGAGGTAAGATGCTCGCTCGCACTGCAGGCACTAAGGTCTAATTCCCAATGCTCAGGTAAAAGCCAGGCATGGCAGTGTGTGTGTCTGTAATGTTACCAGTGAGGGGGGAGGGAGGGGGATCCTCAGGGCTGGCTGGACAGCCAGTCCAGCTAAGTCAACATTGGCCTTCACACACACACACACACACACACACACACACAGGCACAGGCACACACAGACACACACACACAGGCACACAGACACACACACAGGCACACCCCCACCCCCACACACAGGCACACACAGACACAGGCACACACAGACACACACACCCCCACACACAGGCACACAGGCACAGGCACACACACACCCACACCCACACACAGACACACACACACACACACAGGCACAGGCACACACACACACACACACAGGCACAGGCACACCCCCACACACAGGCACACACACACACAGACACAGGCACACACAGACACACACCCCCACACACAGGCACACACACACACACAGGCACACACAGACACACACACACACACACAGGCACACACAGACACACACAGGCACACCCCCACCCCCACACACAGGCACACAGACACACAGGGACACACACACATACAAAATGTGATTAATAACAGTACCGTGTTACAGATTAGCTTGTGTGGGCAAAATGTAGTCCAAGCTGAAGTAGCCCAGCTCTAGGAAAGGGAACCCTTGTTACCGGTGGCCTAGGTGGTTCAGCTCTCCTGACCTAAGATAAGCGTGTTCCGTGTGTGGGAGTTAACGGGTGGTTCTTCCTTCTAGCATGAGCTTTATGTGCTCATTTTACCGGTGTCCATGGCCTGTGGACTGTGCTTGCTTTGGAACATGGTGCTGGGCAAGTCTTAGGTTCAGTGCTTCCGGTGACGGCAGAGCAGTCATTCTCTGCAGGCCAATCCCGAAGGACAAGTTCAGTCCCTGAATGTTGGTGGCTTTTCCTGTGTGGCTGTTTTCTCTTTCGTAGCCACCCCGCCACCATCAAGAAGTCCTTTAATCCTTTACCTCTTGTCCTTGCTCTGCCATGTCCAGCTCTCTCCGCTGTCGGGTCAGACAAGCCCTCACCTCTCAAAAAAAACCAGCTCAAATACTGCTTCTGGAAAGCAGATCGCCCTAACAACCAGGCCTCTTGCCCACCAGACTCCCCACAAGAAACCCACTGCGCTGAGCATGGCTGTCAGGGAATTAACTGGGAACTAGACCTGGGATACATTAAACACGCAATTAGTGTTTGTCGGATGCATCACATCACAAATATGTACAGTGACGGGAATGAGTAATAAGAACACTCGTTAATGAAACGATGGTTACATGTAGATCACCAGTGTAGGTCAAATGATCATTCAGCGTAGACTGGATTGACAGGTCTAGTTAAACATTATGCGCACTACATACAAGCGCTTTCAACCAATCCTAACCGACACAGAGCAGGACAGAGTCATAGAAAAGGTCACAGATGCCGTTCCCCTGGCAGCTCAGACCTCCTTCCCAACTCTGTACACAACCCTGCCGTACGCTGCCACGCCTTCCTTCAAAATGATTTTCTGTTGTGGGATATGTGTGAGCCAGGGAATGACTCAGACACACAGAACGGGATGGAGGAGGTAAAGGCCCGGTGGTAAGTTATAAGAGCTAGTTGAAAGCAAGCCTGAGCTTAAAGGCCAAGCTTTCATGACCAACGGTGAGTGTCCGTGTCATTACTTGGGAGCTGGCTCACCAGAAAAGAAGGTCTGACTACAAATTTCCGAATGACACTGGCTTCTTCACCAAACACACAGGGCCGTGAAAGGTGTGACAGGGACTGGGGCCACAACCTGTAGATGTCTTAATGTCCACAGAGCGAGAAGCGGCAGAGTTGTGGGAGGAGGCTGAGGAGTGGCCAGGGGTGGTGTGCGCATGTGTGTGTGCACCTGTGTGTGAGTGTGTGTGCACACGTGCACGTGTGTGCACGTGTGAGTGTATGTGTGTGAGTGTGTGCATGTGTGTGCACATGTGTGTGAGTGTGAGTATGTGTTTGTGAGTGTATGAGTATGTGACTGTGTGTGCATGTGTGCATATGTGTGCATGTGTGTGCACGTGAGAGTGTGAGTATGTGTGAGTGTGTGTGCACGTGTGAGTGTGAGTATGTGTTTGTGAGTGTATGAGTATGTGACTGTGTGTGCATGTGTGCATATGTGTGCATGTGTGTGCACGTGAGAGTGTGAGTATGTGTGAGTGTGTGTGCACGTGTGAGTGTGAGTATGTGTGAGTGTATGTGAGTTTGTGACTGTGAGTATGTGTGAGTGTGTGACTTGTGTGCAGGTGTGAGTGTATGTAAGTGTGTGACTGTGTGAGTGTGTGCACGTGTGAGTATGTGTGAGTGTGTGACTGTGTGAGTGTATGTGAGTGAGTGTATGTGTATGTGTGTGTGTGTGCACGCGCAAAGATTCAAGGAGGAAATTCCAGGGAAGGACCAGTTGGCAGACAGATGCTCCCAAGGTTTAAAATGAAGTCTGGAGAGTGACCTTCCTGGAAGGGAGGGGCACATGCAGCCAGCTGGTCCCCTTGTCATGGAGATAAGTGAGGTGATGGTGGCCAAGCTGGAGTAGAGGTGACAGGAGCTGGAGATCCACGTGGTGAACGGGTCACACGGTGGACACGGGACACTCTGTGAGGTGGCCACAGGGGAGCTTACATCAGGAGAGACTCCAGGGCACCGTTAAGGTGGGGAGTGGCTTGAAAAGTCAGGAGTAAACGAAGGGCAGAATTCTGAGATGCAGGAGGAGAGGAGGTGACAGGGTCTAGGACAGTCTGCTCCTCACTGTGGGTTTGCAGCGATGGAGACGAGGTCCCCAAGTGCTGCCCGGCCCAGCCGAAAACAGCCAACAGCCAACCCAGAGCACACACACCTTCCTGGGTCCCATCTCCAGAGCTACCCGCACAGGGGCCTGGGCCGCCTCCCCTGCTTTCAGAAATCTGTCGTTTAAAGTTTCCACAAGTGTCAGTTGAAGGGACCGCAAGGCAAGAGACTGACCCACGGAAAGGGAGAGAGGGAGAGAAGCCGGAAGCCTGATTAAGATGGTAACACCGAGAGCGGACTGTGTCCCAGTTTCTATTGCTGTGATAAAGACACCATGACTAAAAGCTACTTGGAGGAAGGGGTTCAGGTATATTTCACCTTATAGCATACCGTCCACACGGAGGGGAGCTCGGAGAAGGGGCCCCAGACCTGACCTCGCCCTCTGCATGGTGAGGTGCTGCTTACTGACTTGCTGCCATGACTTACTCAGCTACCTCTGTTACACAGCTTCAGGGCCACCACTCACGATGGGCTGGGCTCTGCCACATCGATCGATCGGATCCTTAGTCGGGGAGATGCCCCTGCAGACACGCCTAAAGCTAATTTGACGGAGGCGAGTCCTCAATGGGAACTCCGTCTTCCTGGACACGTCTGCGTTTAAGTCACATTGACAAAATGTAACTGGTGTAGACAGCTTAGGGAGGAGGGGAAAGGCGTTGAGACGGGCAGGGTGCATTAATTGGGCAGTTTGGATTGACGGGGAGGAGGAGGGGTCCGAGGTGATGGGTTTACGGCTTGGGCAGCTGTTTGGATCTGGGTAAGGGAATGCAGAGAAAGAAAATCTCATTCGCTTGGAAGATGAGCCCAGGCGGACACTGGCAGGGGA